CAGCCCTGCAATTTCCTTATTTCCCATAAAAATACAAAATACAAACCAGTTCTGATTTGGTTTAACTTTGTGAGATCAATCAAGATTGGTTAAGTCCTGCCTCCTTGTTAGGCAGAGGCAATATTAAAACTGTAAAAATTCAAATATACTGTGACTATATCAACATATCACTGGCAATTACTTACTGCTATTCAGAAAGTAAATGTTACAAATGATAATTTTATGGAATTAGACTGAACAGGAAAACTATATAGTTTGTAGTGAGGTATAGAATGGAGGTTTCACTTTTGCCTATAGCATAGGTTCAAAGCATATCATTCAATTTGGCAAAAAAAAATATGTTTGTTTTCACTCAGAAATAGAAATAATGCTCTTTCTGGCTGCATATATTTGAAATAGCTAGTGCCACATAATTATATTTTCTTACTGAAAGAAATAAATTATATTCCATTTCTTATACATCACGGCCTCCATATAATCTGTTCACAAACAATAGACAAACATGTTAAATCAGGCATTTTATATTTCTCTTTTGGCCCATACTTATTAATAAAACAGGGAGTTAAACTAGTGTTTTTCAGCCTCAGAAGTTTAAGGTGGGTGCATTTAAATTCCCAGAATTCCCCAGCCACACATCTTAAAATTCCTGAGGTTGAGTACAACTAACCTAAATGGTCTAGCCATTTCCAGGAACGCAGCCTCCAACTTCCGTCATGAGCCAAGAGACACATTTTTAAACTGTGAATGCTCCAACACTGGAAGTTTTAAAGAAAAGATTGGACAGCCATTTGTCTGAAATGGTATAGGGTTTCCTGCCTGAGCAGGGGGTTGGACTAGATGACCTCCAAGGTCCCTTCCAACTTTATTATTATTATTATTATTGTTGTTGTTGTTGTTAGCTATTGTTCTACTATGAGGATCTAACAGGAAGGACAGATGGATCAGGAGCACGTTTTGGTTATTCCTAGTTACATTATTGTAATTCCATTAGTGATTATTGCTGATAAGGAAATAAAAATGACAATTCTATTTGCTATACTTCCTGATCTTTTACTATTCAGCCATTACAGCTCCTATCAACCTTCTTCCTAGTAATCATCCATTATCCATATCAGCCAATCCTTTGCAGCTATGTGCTATGCCTGTGAATTCATCTAATAGGTTTAATTTTTGTTTTTGGTCGGAAATGGAAATAATGCTATTTATTACATGATAAAGCTGTACGGCTGCATACTTTTGAATAGTTAGTGCTGCATCCTATTGGAGCAGCATGGTGGCTTAATGGTGAAGATGCTTGTCTACCATTCAAAAGGCTGATAGTTCAATCCTAGGTAGCAGCAGATGTTTCTCTCTCAGGATGGAAAGTGAAAATGTCTGCTGCGAAGTTGACATAGGCTTAGTACTATTCAATCGTCCTGATTCTACCCTGAATTAAAGGATTATAGGGTTGTAAAAAAAAAAGTACCGCATCATATTTTTTTTAAAGGTCCAACCCATTTCAAAAGGTGTTTATAGAATTGAGTATTATAAAATTACAGCCTAGCTTTAGATATTTTCTGCCAGAAGTAAAGTATGTGGACAGTATGGTAAACTCACTCTTTTTCAGTAAGTGCATTGAAGAATTGGGGGGGGGGGGCTGATTGTCTGTCTGTCCGTCCATCCATCCATCCATCCATCCATCCATCTATCTATCTATCTATCTATCTATCTATCTATCTATCTATCTATCTATCTATCTATCTATCTAAAATTAAAAATTGGTGGCAGGCACATGAGTAGGGGAAATATTGAGTTATGTGTGATTTGGATCTTTTAATTTTAGTTATTCTATCCTCAAATCTAAAAAAGAGTTAGAATCAGAAGGGCATGTCTGCCATTGGTTTACATATTTACAATTGAATGAAAGATTTAAATCAGGCAAAAAGTTATGGACTTGACTTTGTGAAAAACGAATTGGAAATCCTACTGCACAGTAGTGATAAACATATTATTGCTAAGGTCTATAAATTATTATTGAATTTGAATTTGGAAAATGAATGTGTATGATTCAGTAGGCAAAGAACTCTGGATATAATGTAACACTTGAACAATGGGAGAATATGTGGATGAAAGGTTTAAAATTTACACTAAATTATAATCAAAAAGAAAACTTCTATAAGATCATGTATCATTGGTATTTAACACCAGATAAGTTGTCAAAAATGTATTAAGGTACTTCAAATGAATGTTGGAAATGCAAATGTAAAAGGGGGACCTTTTATCATTTATGATGGACATGCGACAAAGCAAAAAATATTGGAATAGAACTCACATCTTAATACAGAAAATTCTCAAAGTGAATATAACGATAAAACCAGAAACTTTTCTTTTGGGTTTAATGAAAAAAGACTTGAGAAAAAAAATTGGAACTTTGATGTTATATATGTTGACGGCAGCAAGATTACTTTATGCACAATAACAGAAGGACACTTTGATTCCCACAATGGATGAATGGCTGCAAAAGTTGATGGAGTTAGCAGAGATGGCTCAATTGACTGCTTTGATTAAAGAAAAAAAATTACTTTTGCTTCTATTTGGAAACTGCTTCTTCTCTTTGTGCTTGAGGTGGGAAAAAATGATAGGCTGATTGTTATAGAAATGGCTAGTTTATACTACTATGTAAAAGTAAAAAGTTGAGGTTTGATGCTATTATCTTATTTTATTGCACAAGGAGAGTCAGACGTCAACGTCTTTTCTTTCTTTTCCCCCTTTCCTTACACTTTCCCCTCCCCTATTTTCCTACTATGTTCTTTTGTATTTTTATATTTTATATTATAAACTAATAAAAAAGTGTGATTTGGATGGACAATGGTCTAGAATGCAGTGATTGTACAATTATGGGCACACTTCGATGCTACCATGTAACTCCTCTGTTATATGAGTTGCAGGGCTTCCTGCTGAGCTTCTGGGTACAATTCCAAGTACTGGTTGTTACCTTCAAAGTCCTTCATGGTGTAGGCTGTCTAAGGGACTAGGATCTTTCCACTGTTTTTGCCCATCCCATAAGATCAGCTAGAATGGGCATCCTCCTCTCCCAATTTTCAAGAGTACTATCTAATGGGACATAGGAAGTGTACTTTATTCGTTGATGTTTGTCCTCTGGAGCAGCATCTCCCTAGACATTTGAACTGCCCAACACATCCTTTACATGAGCCTTGAAAACATGGCACTTTCAACAGCTCTGTGATAGGCTGGGGTATGTCTATGCAGATGGTATTAGAGTATATCAGTTAGCTGTGATGTGTGCTTCTCCCTCCCTATTATGTTTATGGTCTTTCTGTTTTGCTTTCAACTTCTACTTTGAGCAGAATCAGTGCTGAGTTTAATTTCAAGAAACACATCTGAACTTAAATGACATTACTACATGTTTATAAATGATATGTTTACAATTATCTCACTTGTTGAATTGGTTAATGCTAGGCATGCTTACTTGCGCTATTTTTATGGAAAGGATATCCCTTTACTTAATAGGGTTTCCTTAAGTCTGGCTGGTGTCATATTCCAGGAGTCCTCTTCACTAATATGGGTTTACATAATTGTACAAACAGTTACTCAGCTACATTTCACGTTCTCTTAACATATATTTATATTGCCAAAGGGTTTGATTTAGCAAGAAAACTACATTTTGATTGTTGATTGTTGTTGATATTTTCCTTCTCTGCTTTTGGCTACAGCTAAGTGCATATACCTCAACATAAATTTATTGATATTATCTCTATAGCTTGTTTCAGTATATTTAGCAAAATTTATATCTTGACATGTGCTAGGTAAATAAATAAAAAACAATAAATAGCTTTAAAACAGTATATGCAAAACTGAAACGATAATTTAAAAGTAACAGTTCACTAAAATATTGTCATTTCACAATTCCCTTGCAAATTGTAAATGCTAAACTAAACTAAATTAAATTGAATTTAGTTGTAAAGATCAAGAACAAAGCAAATAGCATTAAAAATATCTATCTATCTATCTATCTATCTATCTATCTATCTATCTATCTATCTATCTATCATCTATCTACCTATCTACATACTTACCTACTTATCTATCTATCTATCTATCTATCTATCTATCTATCTATCTATCTATCTATCTATCTATCTATCTATCATCCACCTGTTTTTGGCTACCCACTAATATGGATTTACATAATTGTACAAACAGTTACTCAGCTACATTTCACATTCTCTTAACATATATTTATATTGCCAAAGGGTTTGATTTAGCAAGAAAACTACATTTTGATTGTCGATTGTTGTTGATATTTTCCTTCTCTGCTTTTGGCTACAGCTAAATGCTTATACCTCAACATAAATTTATTGACATTACCTCTATAGCTTGTATTCACTATATTTAGCGAAATCTATATCTTTACATCTGCTAGGTAAATAGATAAAATACAGAAATATGCAAAACTGAAATGATAATTTAAAAGTAACAGTTCACTAAAATATTGTCATTTATTTCACAGTTCCTTTGCAAATTGTAAATGCTAAACTAAACTAAACTAAATTGAATTTAATTGTAAAGATCAAGAACAAAGCAAATAGCATTAAAAATCTATCTATCTATCTATCTATCTATCTATCTATCTATCTATCTATCTATCTATCTATCATCCACCTATCATCTGTCTATCTAATCAGACATCCTCTTTCTATCGTGACCCATGGGAATCCTTGTTTTAATATATTTCTTAAGCCATGTCTCATCTAGTTTTAGTACAAATAAAAGCTTACTAGAAATTGCCTACCAGTCACAGGACTTTTTCAGTTTCATTTTTAAGTACCACTGTTCAATAAAGTTAAATATAAAGGTCTGCAGTGGCTGATAACTTTATTAACCTCTCTTTATAATATTTAACTTTCCCTCTGTAATGGGATAGAGTGTTTACCTCAAGTGAGGTAAACAGCAAAAACCAACAGATTCTGCATGCTTAGAAATAAAGAAATGTTACTTACCAGTTCAACTCTGCCAAAACCTCCAACTCCGAGAGTGTCAATGATGTTGAAGTCTGACAGCTTCAGATTGGCGAAGAAGGCAGCTTCGGCTTCATATCTGGATTTTTTTATGTGAAAAAATGGAAATTTCTTAGAGGTGTAGACATGAGTGCTATGTAACTCTGTTCCAAAATGAAGTACACGTTGATTGGAAGATACCACCTTAATTTCCATCTTTCTTTTTAAAAAGTCTTTGTTTTTTCACCCATTGGTCCTAAATTCACATTCTAAGTCTAGTTATTTCTCTCTCTTTTTTTCAGAATGAAAGAACCAAATGTCCGGGCAGCATATCTGTAACGCAACCATTTTGTGTTATAATTCAATTGCACATATTGATTGGATTTCACATCTTGACCGCTTCTTTTAGTCTTCTGGTGAAGATTTTTTCATTTCTTTCTTTCTTTTTAGTAGTTTGTGAAGATAAAAGTCTTTTAAATGAGTTTCCCTTCTCCACAAGCTGCCAGAATTTCTATGAATGTTTATTAAAGTGGCAAGATCATTAAGGTCCCCAGAGAAAAATCTCAGCAGGTTTTATAAAATCAGATCTAATAAGCTGAGAAAATGGTATACAGATTTCTGAAAGGAATTATTTCAGGTACGCACTACTGTTCCTAAAACAACATTTTCCTCTACCCTACATCTTTAAACTTCACATAGAAGCTTGTGGTCCTCAATCCAGAAGTGCTCCCCTTAGACTGTGTGTGAAGTAGCTCTGAATAAAAATGTATACAGTACTAGCTATGCAAGCCATCTGAAACTGACACATGCACACATGCCAAAAATAAGCCTCCCATGAATATACCCTTTAAATATGAATCCCTTAAAATAGTGTCTTGCTAGGGATTATGATATTTTTGGAAAGGCTATGAGGGCAAACTGAGGAGGATGTTCCATCTACTCACTGAACTTTGATATGGGAAATATCTTGCTGAGGGGGAAAAGCATAACACATGAACAATTTTTCTAATGATACCTTTGTTCTTTTGAACTGAGTGCTCCAAAATGCACGTAGAAAGACAGTGCTTTTTCACTATTTTGAAACAAGCTATTCGTAAGATTAGCAGGTTAATCAAGGGGCACAACGAAGTGAAAATCAATGATGAGTTCTTGGTCTACAGACTCTTAGCTCCATTTATTCCAAAGTAATTTAGATGTGTTTTTCTATCAAGCTCACTGGTAGAACTTTTAAAAAGCACTTTGCTTTTTTTAAAAAAAATGTTCATGTTTTACCCTAAAAAATAGATTATAAACACAACTCTGCTGGGTCTCTAAAAGAGATTGGGATGAATGTTGTTTGAGAATTCAGAAGACTTAAGTTCTTCTGTATTCAGCTTGAAAACTCAACACCCTTATTGTGAAGATTAATTTTCTACCATGGAAATACGACATCCTATTGAAGGTATCTCCTACCCAGAAGCTCTGGTGGTAGGGCTAGAACTTTTTCAGGTGACCTCCTGTCGGAAGAGATAGCTCCCTCACAGTTTTAGAATAAGTAAGAAGGAGACCTTAAAGCAGGGGTCCTCAATCTTGGCAAATTTAAGAGTTGTGGACATCAACTCCCAGAATTCCTCAGCCAGCTTTGCAAAGCTGGCTAAGGAATTCTGGGAGTTGAAGTCCACAAGTCTTAAAGTTGCCAAGGTTGAGGACCCCTGCCTTAAAGAAAGAACATTTGACATATGTGGATAGAGAAAGAATATAGATAACTATGTACAACTGGTTGCTGATACTGAAAGGGGCCTAATACATTTTTTTCTCATGTCCCCCATTAAGTTAATGCCTGAGTGAGCTGGATGTCCCATCCCCACTTTAGAAAATGGAATTTCACAATAACTCCTGTATATCATTTCCTAACAGCAGAGAAAGGACATTCCATAGAGAAGTATGCACTTTCAGAAGTCCCTGAAAGTGGGATCTATTATTCAGATAACCATACACAACTATGTACAACTGGTTGCTGATACTTGCTAGGAAATATTTTCTACAGCACTTTTCTGCTAAAAGACACTTTGATTGTGACATGATTTAAATGTTTGGTATTTAATAAAGAAGGGTATGTTTGATGATGTAGTGGCCCTACAGATTTTTCCAGGGGCCAGAAAAGTCAAAGAAGGCTGTTATAAATGCCCTCTAGTGGTGCAGGCTTCTTCTATTTCTTGTAGGTCAGCTTGTTTTAGAATCTTCTGGTGTGCAAATAGGTTGAGGGAGGTTCATTGTTCTGTGCTGTTAAATCTGAGAAAGATGTTCTAGGTCAGGGGTGTCAAACTCAATTTCATTGAGGGCCGCATTAGCATTGTGGTTTCCTTCGGGGGCCTGGGTGGATGTGGCCAGGGTGGGTGTGGCCTACTGGTGGGCATAGATGGAGTGGATGTGGCCTACCGGGTGGGTGTGGCCAGCTCTACATTGTTCGCATCAAGGGTGCCTGTGGGGGCCTGGGCAGGAGTGGGACAGATCTGAGGGTCTCTGGCAGAAGGGGGTGGGACCAGGGCAAGTGGCAAGGAATAGTCCACCAGAGGAGCCTCCTGTTCCTCTCAGGCCATGCAGGGGGGGGCTGGATGGTGGTGTGGGCTGCTCGGAACCCTGGGAAGCAGAGGTCAAACGCCCAACCTGGCTTTCGAGCACCCGCGGCACCAAGGGGGCATACAGCTGCACTTACCTCCTCCTCAAGGCTGCTGTTGTTGTGCTTGCTCTCCTTAGCCAGGTTGCTCATGATGGGTACGAGGGCAAAATCAGAGGGAGGCCCATTCCCTCTCCATGTATCCAAAGCTTCCTTAGCAATAGGATGGGAGACCCCCAGGATAGGCCAGGAGGAGACAATGGGATGGTGAAAGGGCAACAGGGCAGGACTAAGGTAGGATTTCCCTCAGATTCTCCCTCTTCTTCCTTCCTTCCTTCCTTCCTTCCTTCCTTCCTTCCTTCCTTCCTTCCTTCCTTCCTTAGTACAGAGTGGTGGGAAAATATTTGAGATGAGGGAGGGAGAAAAACAGGCAAGAAACGCAGCTGGGGAGGTGTCACCTTTGTTAGGAATGAAGAAATGAACCATCACCTGGAAGTGGCCAGCATATGGCCCTCACCTACTTCACATATCTGGCTTGATGGGCTCTGGGGGATGAGATGCCATGAGCAGCATGAGAATCAATGTTATCTGCGCAATGCTGCGTAGGCCCCAGCCTGCCCAATTTCAGCAGGCAGCAAAGTACTCTCTTCACAGCGCAGAGAGGCTGAGTCAGGCGGCGCAAATCTGAAAAGAAGTGCGACACTGCCAGTCCCTAGCCTGCCCGGTTTTGGCAGACAGCAGGGCACTTTCCTCACAGCGCCAAGAGGCTAAACAGGGTGGTGCAAATCCAAAAAGAAGCACGATGCCACCCAGCCCCCAGCCTGCCTAGTTTTGGCAGGCAGCGGGGCACTGTCCTCACATCACCAAAAGGTTGAGCCGGCTGCCTGATGAAACTGAGCAGGCTGGGGGCTAGGCAGCATTGCACTTCTCATCAGATTCGCACCACCCAGCTCAGCTCTTGTCGCTGTGAGGAGAGCGCCCCGCTGCCTTCTGAAACTGGGCAGGCTGGGAGCTGGGCAGCCTTGTACTTCTTTTGGAATTCGCGCTGCCCGACTCAGCCTCTCAGCGCTATGAGAAGAACGCCCCGCTGCCTGCAGAAATTGGGCAGACTGGGAGCTGAGCGGCATCTCGCTTCTTTTTGGTTTTGTGCCGCCCAGCTCAACCTCTCGGCACTGTGAGGAGAGTGCCCCACTGTCTGCCGAAACCCTTCCCCTGGAGCCCATCAAGCTGGATATGTGAAGTAGGCAAGGGCCATTTGCTGGCCACTTCCAAGCGATGGTGCATTTCTTCATTCCTCACAAAGGGTGACACCTCCCCAGCATGCACCCAGGGGGTGGGCTGAAGCGGCAGGGCCTGGTTCCTTGCTGTTTCCAGACAGCCTTGTGGACCTAAGATTGAATGCATTTCAGCATAGATGGCCACCACAAAATTGTACATTGGCTCCCGGCTGGCCTGGGCCAGGGCCAAGGCAGCGGGGGCTATTCCCTCACTGATTCCAGGATGGCTTCGCGGGGCACATGAAACCACTTTGTGGGCCACTTCTGGCCCGCGGGCCTTGTGTTTGACATGTCTGCTGTAGGTTTTGGTAATCAGGATGTCTATTAGCAAAATTGACCTTTTAGAAAATATTGGGATTTGATTCCTATGAAGGTAATGTTGTTTTTGCTTCTTCTTTTGGGAGTATCTGGTCTAGAAGTTCCAAAAGTGATATCATAATGACATGGATTTACTGTATCGAATTCTCCTGCAAAGAGTATAGGAAGGATCTCAAGAGACACATTTAGCCACAACATCAAAAAAGTCTTCTGAAAAAACACAGAGAGCAAATTACAGTGAGTTTGCTGTCTCTGAGTCCCCTAAACAGCCATAGAATGAAATAACTAAAAGAATAAGTAAAAGATAAAAAAAAGCAAATAAAGAAAAACAACAACAAAATGTCCCTAACCAAGTATAGAGAATAATAGAGATGACCTTGGAGAAACTATGGAGAACTGTTAGCGAAGTATGATTTCAGAAAAGAAAGAAAGAAAGAAAGAAAGAAAGAAAGAAAGAAAGAAAGAAAGAAAGAAAGAAAGAAAGAAAGAAAGAACACCCTCCAACTACTTCTGCTTTAATTCTCTAAAATTATTTTTAGGCTTTCGAGATTCTGCTACTACTATATCAATAAAATATAGTTCCATTATTATTTGTGCAATCTGTTTCCTGACCTGGTCTATATTGAAGGACTAACACCAAGGGAATCTTGATCATATGACTGATTGGCATAACTCATGAGGATGTGCACATTCTATTTCCAATCAGAGGGATCTTTATTAGAAGGACGTGAAAGTGATTACCATCACAGCCTCAGTCTTTTGTGTCTGGAACTGCAACACGAAATGCTTGCTTCTTCATTCCTCTTTTTTTCCCCTTCCTGGTAAGACTGGAGGGGGAAGGTCCTACCAGAAGAACTTGTGATGGCTTCTGCTTCTTCTTCTAAACTTTATGAGCGCACAACAGTGCCA